TGAGCAATCACTTCCTTTATCCCTCTATAAAAATATTTGTTTTCCATCTCATTCTCACTTTATAATATTAGTATCTTCTTGAGCTTGTGATTTCCTGTCTATTGGTTACTGTGTTTATTCATGCCGTCCTACTTTTTTGTATTACTTGATGCATTTCTATATTTTTTGTACCTTCTATAGTTAAACCATTTCTATAACTCATCCCTAGATACACATTTCTCATTCAACATTTTATATACATGCTTTTTTCATTTCTGTTTGGTAGAGAACAATTCATGCTTGGGGCCGGAGCAGCAAGTATGGATAATGTAAAAGGCACAAAACAGGTGGTGGAAGCTGTTTTTGTAGTGACAAGAGTTTCAGAGTCTTCTAATATTCCTTGTTTGAGGACAGGCAATAATTTTACGAAGGTTCGGTCATTAACTTGTTTTTCTTTTGGTCCATGCACTGAATTCACGCCGCACATCCTCAGTTTCACTCTTGAAGGTTGTTGATAATTTGATTAGTTTATTATTGCAAGCACTTAATGACAGTTAAGCATGTGTGGATTTTATAATAGTAACTGTTTTTTTAATGGCTATAGAGCTTTGAAGCCTTCCAGTAGCCCATGATATGAGGACAAATGATGGTTTTCTCAACATTTTCTTCTTAAATTTTATGCCGGTACAACTCTAGTGACACTACATATCCAGTTTGACTCTTTTAATTTCACCTTTTAAAGCTGCTGATATTAGTTTATCAGTCTAAATACTTAGGAGAGTTAGGTATATGAGCATTCTTGAATGGCAAGCCTTGCACAAGTGTCAGATGTTGTGCTTGATATTGATCTTAAATTTATATGGTGGCTATAACTCGCTGCTTATTAATAAGCATGGCTTGGAAATTTGCAATATCTTGGTAATTAGATTATCCTTATTCCCTGTATTCTTAATTGTGATAGGCCTTTATGGTTGTCCATCGTCAGAGAAATGCAAGATCCGATCAGCCTAGGTATTGGTCTTGGAGATCTAGCGTCATGAATTGACTTTTTTTGCTTGGCTAGAACTTATGGGCGTCTTTCTAAAAGGATGTTGTAAGCTCCTTTAGAATGCTACATTTTCCTACTAGTGGAACCATGATATGCCTTGCACCCAGCAACTTGTATACATTCCTCTTTTATATTTTAGGTTTTGGTAACATATGAGTAAATTGTAAGTCTTTGTATCGATCAAAGTTTCTGTTTCTGTTTTGTGAAGATCACATTTTCCAAATCTCATGTAGATTTTGGTACTTGGCCTTCTGAAATATTCAGTGCTCATCAGTTATCACATTATAATATAATTCTTTTGGTAGTTAACCTTCTGAAATATTTCCCAGCATTTCCTATGTCTTCAAAGGTGTGGCTATGTAGAATACCGAGGTATGAATTCAAAAATCTCTTTATTAATAATTGAAGTTTCTACTTACAATTACCATAATATAACGTAGAAATTGGAAAAAAAGTTAAACTTACTACAATCTTGGATCTTTACTTTTTACTGCCAAAATAAAACTAAAGGCTGAATTGAAACCCTTCAAATTCGAATTCTAATAGAATTACTGTAAATAAATATAAATTTGTAACTTCTAACTTGAAATAAATAAATTAAACTGGGAAGACTTACTGAACTTTGCCTAGGATTACCCCCTTAGGACTTTGTACCCCACACCTGATTACCACACTGATGGCGTACTTCTTGAACCTTTGGCTCTGATGAATTTTATATTATTGGGAAGCTCTTTTGGCAATCCTTTAAAGAACTGGGCATGAGTGCGTGAACTAGGTCTAGGGTGTTTCTGAAAGCTCTTAGGGTGATGCCGTAATGTAGCACCAAACTGAATGAATGAAATAACAGGTGACCCCCCTTTTTAGAGTTTTTCAAGAGGTCTATGGTATGCCTGTCTTAGTAAGAATTCAATTTGACTAATAGGATTCATGGTAATCTGTGAGGTGAGAGAGAAAACAAATCTAGGCCATCTGCCCCAAAAATATGCCATCATGAATTAAGGAAGAATTTTGGGAACCTTATCCTTTGAATCTTTCACCCATATCCACTTTTAATCAAATTAGGGTAAGATATATTGCTATTTTAATTTGAATATTGATCTAAGTAGGAGCCCTAGTTCAAGTAGGAATCTTAATTTAAATAGGACACCTAATATCATTTGGATTCATTAACAAATAATTTTTTAATACAAATTCTTAATTGACACAGGAGTTCTAGTCCAAGTAGGATTTCTAATCCAAATAAGACCCCTAAAATAAATAATAATATAATAATATTTCAATTTAATTAGGGGTTTCCCACTTTCTGTGGGATGCTTGGCCAATAAATTGTGGAACCACAATTCGAATAGATGCACGTATCACTATAGTCAAAAGCTCCTCATACATGTGTAGTTTGATGATCTCCTTGAGTAGTTTATTTTGTTGATGGATAAGGGACCCTAGTTGAGTTGTATCCTCTATTTTTTAGTGTGTTTTGAAGTCTTTTTTTTACTGTAATCACAATGACTTTGTTGTAATTTCATTTGTAAGTTGAATTTCAAGTGCATTTTGTAAAATTCAAGTTGTATTGTCTTGAGTTTTGACACAGTTGTACTCCAAATATATGAGAGTTCGCTTCTATACCGTTACATTTTTTTGACTATCACACCACTAGACATTACATACACTTTAAGAATAGCAAGTCAGTTTATGCATGCACCATGTTCCCATCACTTGGAGGCCGTTTATCACATATTATGATATTTAAAATATGCTCCAGGGAGAGGGCTACTTTATACTAGCCACAGTCTTGATGTTCAAGGTTTCTTTGATGCAGATAGAACTGAGTGTTCTCCTGATCGACGATCTACTAGTGGCTAGTTTATTATAATGCATAGTAATTTAGTCACCTGGAAGAGTAAGAAGTAGAGTGTTGTAGCTCATTAATTAGCAGAAGCCGAGTATTGAGCAATGGCAAGTGCTACATGTGAAATAATTTGGCACTGTTCTCTTCTTCAACAAATGGATTTTCATGTTTCCACTTGTATTCTTCTACATTGTGATAATCACGTGGCAATTCACTTCATTAGAGAAAAGGTTGCTTCAACGACGATGTGTCCTCCCTTTGTTCGCTCCAAGAATCAATTAGTAGGCATAACTTACCGAGGCCTTTAATGGAGTTTGACTAAAGGATACTTTGGACAAGCTGGGCATCTATGATATATATACTCTAGCTTGAGGGGAAGTGTAGTAACTGTTGTAGACCCCACTAAAGAAACCTGTGTGGGCCTTATGCCCATTATGGAAACTTGCATGTGGTGATAATAAGCATAATATTATACCGCAAAAGGGTGATTTTCTTGCTGTAACAATTATCATGTTTGAGTCATATTCTTGCTGTAAGAGTTGCTGTATTTGCGTGACTTTTGCTCTAATAGTTATGCATAATGGTTGTAACTCATATGCATGTTGACCTACTTATGTTGTGACTGTCATGGGGATCTATGTGTATTTGTAGGGCACATTGCCCCTTGATTTATATAGAATGAAAAAGACATCTATAGTTCCTTTATCTTGTGCTTGAATAATACTCTCTCTGCTCTCTCAATCTTAATAGTAATTTGCACCTCTTTTTTAAGTAATGGCTCCTTAGGCTCATATGGTGTAGACCTTATTGCCCAAATTGCCCCATTGCTTCCATCATGGCTTGGAAGCTTTTCAAATAGAGACATTCAATATCGCTTTGATAAATCCATTGTTCTGTATACTCATCTTTATTATCCTTTTGTTCTTTCTTGAAGTACAACTTTAAGAGTGAGTTGGATGTAAGAATCCATGGGCCCCCTCGCTCAAGGCCTTCTCTGCTCAATCTCCACCGGTTTACTTCTAGAGTCCCCTTCTAGAGCATGTACCTCTTCCTCTTCTCTTTCTCCAAAAATAACAATTGGTCTAGTAATATTGTCAAGTTATTTTTTTCTCTACTCTCTTTCTGCTTTGGAGCCCCTATAAATTCTCCGAAAATCTCTCCTAGCTTCTGCAAGGATTTGAGTTTAATATCTTGTTTCATGCTTGCGAAATGTTTCTTCAATCAATTAATGTTGGCATGATAACTTTTGTGACAAAATTTGCACTCAACCCCATTGTTGTCATTTAGATTGGGGCATTGTTCGTATTTCTATCCTTGATCAACTTGTTTATTAGAACTAGAAGAATAAATCGTCGCCTATCCAAGTCAATTATCAACCACCTAAATCCTGTAAAATGCACAAAACTAACATTATCTAATCTCGAATACATATCTTTAAGTCTAGGGTGTAACAAATTAAACTTAAGTTGACAATGGTAAACAATTTTTAAAAAATGTTGTCAACAAACCCAACATGAAGTATGTGGTAATGTAACACACGGTATGAAAATGTATCTAGTAATTGACAAAATGAAATCTAGATAAAATAACATAACAAAATGATAGATTTACCAAAAACAAATTACTAGGGCCAGATATCTAGAAGGTAAGAGCAGATATTTATTAATATCTAAATCTGAATTATTAATGTAAAACTCGTGAATTTACTATTTTACTTATTTTGTTTTAGTGGTTTATAAAATTCAAGTTGTTGGTCTAGGATGCGACAGTTTAGTAAGCATTGAACGCTAAAGCTAACAGACCTAGAGTATATTTTCTCATTTACGAAATGAAACTATAAAAAAAAAAAATACAAATCGATAAACAATTTACTCGAATATTTAAAAAAGTCACTAATGCAACATCAAATATCAATGAGAAATCATCAAAAAATGGGAAAGGTAAATAAAGTAGAAAAAGCCATATTATTGCCCATTTTAAATTTTTAGGGAATTTTTAAGAGCAATGAAGTAGAGAAAAAATCTATTTGGTTTGACTTAAATGGCATTTAATTAATATTGGGTTACCCAATCCTAATGGAACTCAAACCACTCTTGAAAATTGGCCACAAATCCAAAGCCAAACTCAAAAAAATAGTACAACAACAAAAACCAAATATGAAATGAAAACAAAAACCCAATATTCACAAAAATACCAAACCTTGAACTAAAAATTTAAATTGACTAATCTTTCAATACTCAATCGATCTTGGCTTGAATCAGTGACTGTTGGTTGGTGAAGGACCTCTTTTGCAACCACTTACAACCCTAAAAAGTATTTGATTGGTCAACCTTAAAAATAAAAATAATTTCAAACTCTCAGTGTTAATCAAGTTTTTATCACTCGGTAAGGGTTTAATTGTATAAGGACTCTTGTATTTCACCCCAAGACCCTTTTCCCCACTTTTTAAGGGGGTGAAAAGCCATTTTTTACCCTTGGCTAAGGGTCTTTTTCTGCGCTCGACCAACAAGATGTTGAGGTGGAACCTAGGCACATAG